CCCGCCCCGCCCCGCCGGGCCCGAGCGCGCCCGCCCCGCCCCCATTACAGAGGGGGAGAAGCTGAGGCACGGCCCGGTCGGAGGATCGGACCAAAACAAACGGCACGAGGTTCAGCTAAGGGCAGGGGCGGAGGCCTGCGCTCGGGCCAGGCCGGGCCCAGCTCTGCAGGAAAGGGGCTGGGCCTTGCAGTGGGGAATACGCTGAATGCAAGGCAGCAGCACGCCCGGGGCTGCACGAGGAGGAGGGGCGTCAGCAGGTCAAAGTCTGCACTGGGGAGGCTACAGCTGGAGTCCTGTGTCCAGGTTTGGGCCCCACACTGCAGAAAGGATGGGGACACATTGGCAAGTGTAGCAGAGGGCAACGAGACTGGGCCAGGGGCTGAGGAGGAAAGACTGAGAGAACCAAGTTCATTCAGCCTGGAGAAGGGATTTAATAGCAGCCTTCAACTCCTGGCAGGAGGTTGCAAAGAGGACGGAGCTGCGGTGGCAGACAGCAAAACAAGGAACAATGAGCTCAAGTTGCAGCAAAGGAAGTTTAGGCTGGAGGGGGGTGAAGCACTGGAACTGGTTACCAAGAGAGGTGGTGGCATCTCCAGCCTTTGAGGTTTTTAAGACCTGGCTTGACAAAGCCTTGGCTGGGATGAAGTAGTTGGGGCTGGTCCTGCCTTGAGTCCAGCGCCCCTGAAGTCCCTTCCACCCTCATGTTCTGCAATGCTATAATTAAGCAACTTGCCGTGCCAGCCTTCCTCTGTCGCTTGAGCACGGACTTGAACCAGCATCCTGCCTTCCAGACTTCCACCCTGGGCCGCAGGCTGGCTCTGCCCCTGCTGGGCTCTATGGCCTCGGCTCCTTCTTGCTCCACAGAAAGGAAAAATAAAAATCATGTCCCAAGGCCCAGATTGCCAACATTAAGCATTAATAAAATCAGTAGCATCAGCTTCCCCCATGTCCCAGCAAACACTCAAGGGCTGCAAGGAGACAGTGCCAGGAGACAAGTCCCCACAAGTAAAGGTTTAGAAGACTTCAGGCTGGTTAAAAACAAAAAACAGGGAGGATGGAAGAAGCTTGTCCTGCCTATGTAAGGGGGTCAAAAACTTGAGAGAAGATAGGAATATAGGGTCCAGCCCCAGAATCAGCACATTGTGGTATTATTCCAGCCCACAAGAGACAGCAGGAGCCTGGCTGCTGCAAGAGATCAGAAAAGGGATAGGGGAGCAGGTAGCCCGACTCCTGTCATCCTATCTTACAGTCTTCCTGATCCAATCCACCCTCCTCTCTTCATTGCTTACCAAAGCACGTTAATTGTGAACAAACTTGACATTTAAAAGGATTATCTTTGGGCAGCTCAGGAAAGACCCAGTGGGATGAATGTGACAACACCGACCTTCTCAGGTTGGGTAAAGGCAAGGCATCACTGCAGCAGTTTATGCTATCAAAGCCAAATTGCAGCAGCTGGAAGAGCTGGGATCTTTCTGAAAAAGAAGTTCTGAAAACCAGGCAGTTTCACAGCATGGCCTCTGAAGACAGGTGAAAGAGTGAAGGTATAAGCCAATATATGGGCTTGTTAGTGCAGGACCTGAGCTGGGGCTGTTTGCTAGAGAGGGTAAATGGTTTGAATTTGCACTATGAGGCTATTAGTTTGTACTCCTGGCAGGGCACATACATAGACACTCTTCATTGTTCTAAATGAAAGGAAAATGTATATGGTGTGTATTGCCCCATTTTATATAAGGTACCACCTGAACACCAAACATTAATTAAATAATTAACCATTTCCATACATATGAGTTTCCAAAACACATGAAAAGCTTGGGGTAAATCTGCTTTTTCTAAGGCTGATTTTTTTTTTTGAGCTGAAGAACAATGGTTTCTTCAAGCAGGTTTCTTCCTACATGTTCCTGCTCTATCTTCCCTTAATAGCAGCCCTGGGAGAAGAAAAGTCATATATACGCAGGGAAAGGCAGCTTGAAGGAGCCCTGGGAAAAAGGCAGCTTGGTCTTCTTTAAGAGGCTGTGCACTGCACAGTGCTCACCTTGTGCAAGGAAGGTTTTGTACCTACAAGAGCACAATCATGAACAGTTAATGCAATGTCAGGCTTTTCAAAAATAATTGTAAAGATTTGTGCACTAAAGTCATGCAAATCATCCCACTGAAGTTTTTGGAGTCTGCAGGATCCGAGCCCAGATCTTCCCACAAAGTTCATATAAAATTATATATATAATTTCAGAGTTTCCAAAGCCAGATGTTTGCTTTTGTTTAATTTATCAATCCCTTCTCTTAAAACAGTCCAGCACTTTGGCACATAGAACAGAACAGCATAAATGCAACCCAAATAAAAATTCTCTTTCCCCCAGCCCTTCAGATGTGGTCAGACAATGCATCAGCACACCAATTTCAGAACTCATCACTACTCAGCAAACTAATAAATAATAAAACAGCAGTTGAGCCAAGGCAGAACTCGAGCATTATTTTATATGAAAGACTTATTTTAAAAAATTCTGTCTGAATAATAAATTCCTGAACTCTAGAAACCCGATTCCTTTTTTCCTTCCAACACAGGCTGGTCTCCCCTTACCACATTGCTGGCTCCTACATGAAAGATTAATAAATTCTCCTGGGACTATTGTTAAGGCAGGATGGGGCAGGAGAGTGCAGGAAGAAATCTGCTTGAAGAAACCATTCTTTTTCAGCTCAACTAATAAAACTCCCAACAGCATGTTTTAAGAAAAGGCAGATGTTTCAGCCCAAGGTTTTCATGTGTTCTGGAAGCTCCTAACAACCTCTGATCCAAATTCTCTTTGAAAGGGGAAAAGGGTCTCCTTTCTCCATCTGAGACCAAAGAGGGGCATTATGGTGCTAGATTTCACAAGGTCCCATGAGATCCTGAGCATATGTAGTGGTTGGTCTAGCCTGACCTACCAATGCACAGAATGGAGGCCCGACTGCAATTCTGTCTTGTTTTTTCTTTTTTTATGCTACAACTGATTGAAATGTTTGTTTTTTTTCAGGGAACGGATTAGTTTCTATGCTGCAAGGGACAAGTGCTTTGCTTCTGTAGCATCGCTGAGCTCAGTGAGTTCATACAAGGGGTTCATTTGCCCTGATGTATTTCAAATGGAGATTAAATTATCACATGATAAAGTCCCAAATTACAATTTACTCAAAGATCTAAATTCCAGCAAAATTTCAGCATGCTCTGAACCCCTCCTTAGCATACACACAGCCTGTTTTCCAGAGAAGCTTATACCAGTCACCAACAAAGTTAAATAAGTAGTAATTTGGGAGCAGATTGTTCCACACCTGCCTACCACAGGGGTTTCTTCCACCTTCCTCTGCAGCATCTCATGCTAGCCCCTCTAACGTAGCTGGACATCATAAGACTTAGATGTAATGCAGTCAGACAATTCCCCAGCATCTTTCAATGCTCCGGTAGACAGGACCCTGCCCATCACTGCACAATGCTAGAGTAACACTGCCACATAGCCTTGTACTGTTACTGAATAATATTGAGATACTCTCTCCAGAGGATTCTCTGTCAACTTCCATTCTCAGCTACCAGGGACTCAGATCTGTCAGCCAGTGTCCTTCACCCCATCTTACAGATGGAGAAAGCAATTGAAAAATTAAGCAACTTGCCCGAAAATATATGGGAATGGGGCCAGAAATATAATTCATGAATCATGAAGCACCCCCTACATAACACCTCCCACCGCAAAGAAAACTGTGGACAAAACATGGGTTTTCCTCCTTAGATTTGCCATCATTACATTTCTTGCAGAACAGGCTCCATTGCTAAATGCTAGGGCACACTGTCATGTGGCAGATGACCTTTGAGATGGTAACTGCGTCACCATTTAAGGCCAGACTCTAATAATTTCTCCAGGATCAAATTCACTTCTCATCTTGCAGGCTCAATGAATTCAGCTTATTGTCCACATCTTCCAAAAACCCTTTATCTAGCGACTCGCAATCCATGCCATCTTCCCCACTAGGTATATAGACGTGGATCTCCATCCTTGATTTTCTGATCTGCGGCAGTACAGGGAGATCCCCTCCAGGCACTGGCAGGCAAGTAGCCCCATGCACTCGCAGGGTCTGTGCCACTGCACTGGCAGGATGCTTCAGTGCTGCTGGCTGCCTGTTCCTATGCTCTACTGCTCCTCCAGGGAGGTTGTTCCTGTTCGGTCTCAACTTGCTGGGAGATGTCCTGGTGAGCGGTTGCATGGGACGGGAGAAGTGTACAAAGGTGCATCTCTCCCTCTGGTTAAGGCAACAGTCATCCTGTGCTCTGGCCCCTGCAGGGCAGAGAAGCCCTGGGAAAGGCTTTAGGAAGGGCAGCTTGGTCTTCTTTAGGAGGCTGTGCAGTGCAGAGTGTTCACGTTGAGCAAGGAAGGTTTTGTACCTGTTTTAGAGACAAAAGCACAATGAACTCAGTGACACTTAGTGCAGCGTCAGGCTTCCAACCCGGCGCCCAGGACCTGATCCAGTGCCTGCTACAGTCTATGGAAAACTTTACTAGGTCCCAGCTGGAAACCTAGGGCTCATTTATCTTCTGCCCTCTCCTCTCCCCAAGGCCTCGAGCTGCCAAGCCTTTTGATCTCTCTGTTCTTGGAACTCAGGTGAGGTCAGGGACAGCTCGGGCTCCGGGGCTGTCACCTCCAGCTGCATTGCTAGCCTGTGCAACAGGGTCATGATGTGAGCTGCCTTTAACTGGGGCCAAGTTCTAGAAGCTGCTCTGCCTTTCAGATGCCCCTTGCCCAGCAACAGGAGCAGAGGGAGCTGCTATCCTGGAAACCACTCTCTGCCTCAGTCATTAAAAGTTGCTTTTTAAAGGCTGGCTCAGTCTCACCACAGTCACAAAGCAGAGTGACACAGCTAAGCACAGCAATCAGGTCTCCTGGCTCCCAGAGCAGCCTGCTTTGTTTGTAGGCAAACACCCCCACTTACGAAAGAGAGTCTAAAGCTCAGGGCTCTAGGCAGATTATTGCCCCTGCAAGAAGGGTGGATGTAACTGGGACAGCAGCCAATTAAACACAGGTCATACTTTGGGGTTGCTATAGCAGCCCACCTGTAGGGCTGTGCTAGGGACCTGCGTCATTATTCCAGCATTTGGCCCATGGGATTGTGGGATCAGAGCTTGTTACAACCCCAGGGAGACAGCAGCAGTGAAGCCAGTAAAGCCTGATGCTGCTGGAGGTACCACTTCGGCTTCTTACAAAAGGGAGTACAGCAAAAGCTTCGTTATCCGGCATCCCCCAGGAATGGGGGATGCCAGTGAATCAAATATGCCGGTTAATCAAACATGAGCCATCTGGTGCACTCCCTGGCATCAGTGTGCCAGGGGACAGGGAAGGGGGCCCCCACGCAGGCTGCTTTGCTCTGCGCCGTGGGCCGAAGCAGTGAAGGAGAAGAACTTGGCTTGTGGCTTTTGCCGCATCCCTCAGATGCAGGTTAGTGGAGCTTTCTGGCTGATAAAGTGCCAGATAAAACAGCTTTTGCTGTACTAGGAGCAAGAACGCAGGCCCCAAGTTGCTCAAAGTCAGTCAAAAACTAGTATCAGATTTGCATTGCTCCATAAATTGAGAAGGATTCTCAACCTGTGGTTAAGCAGGTAGTAAGCAGACCTGGAAAATATTAAAATCCAGGGCAGTTATACTGTTTGCAGTCACAAAAGTAATCCAGAAAGTACCTCCCAAGCACTAGATACAGAATACTAGATGCTAGAAGTCTAGAAGTGGTGATTTAACCAATAGTTCTCAACTCTTCTGCGATACAGTCCCATGTTACAAGAAAGCAGTTTGAAAACCCTAGTGCCACCAGACTACAACAAGAGGCGGGGTGGGCTCAAATCCCCAGCCCTTTTTGGGACATCAAAATCCAGAACTGGTGGCTTTGGTTCTAGCAAAGGAGTCTCAGTTATATGCCGGCTAATTCACACACCTGGACAGGGTCAGAAAGCCTTTGAGGGTTCAGTACAAGAGTTTCTGGTTACAGCTCCCCTAGAAGCAATTCTGGAAACTGAGCTTGTCACAGCCCCAGGGTCGAGGTAAGTGACAATACAGCCTTGAGAGTGCAAGTGCTGCAAAGGGGCTGGAACTGACAGCTGGCAGGGACATGCAGGGGGCACTGCTGCTGTGGCCTGCAGGGAGGAGCAGCACTTTTACTGGGCATCTACTTCTCTTCCAGTGGCCTTATGTAGCCTGGTTCCTCTCTTTCAAGCACTGTTCAAGTCCCCCTACCCCCCAGCTTCCCTCTTGGAACATTTTTGTAGCTCTTTCCCCTTTTTACTCATGTGCACCCCTGACCCCAATACTGCTCACACCACTTCTCCATCCCTTGAGGTATTTCCCCCCAGCATTATCTGCTTCTAGGGTCCAAAAGCATCATGTCTGACCATGGCAGGTCAATTCCCCCTATGCCCCCCAGTCCAGATCTCCACATAAAATACAAATGCTGTACTTGGGTTTTATCTTTGGGGCAGAAACTCTGGCAGCCTTTATGCTTTGGGAAACATAGCAGTGGTATCAGTGATTCAAAGCTCCCACCAAGGCACTACAGCACCAGCTGGTTAGAGAAGAGTTTCATCCTGAGGGTAAAGCAGAGCCTGGATGTAGGGAAAGCCATCAGGGCAACTTACGGCAGATAAAAGCAGTATTTGAGCTGGGATGGCAACAACCCCTCTGACTTCATGCACAATGTGCATGCGTTTGACCCAGATTTGTCTTTGGATTTTCCTTTTCTATTCTGAGAGTTGTTCCATTAGCTCCACTAGAATTGGTTAAACCAGGTGATCCCTGCTAGGAGCCAGGAATCCAAATCAGTGACTGGCATACTGCCAGGCCCATTTTGAAAGTCTTTCACAGGTGAACACTAGATCAGCCCTGGAGCCATTGGCAGCCTGGATCCAAAAGCAGAAAGTCATAAAAGGTAGCTTTTGCAGGCCTCCCTTAGAGGGCCCTCTTGTGGCTTACTCCCAGGATGACCAATTTGCAGTTTGTGGTTACAAGCGGGTGCAGGAGGGTTTTTATATACAAGGGATGCTCCTGGATTTTAGACTCATGTCAACTTGGAACAGCCTCACTTCAGGAGTGGCCCAAAACCCCACACTGGAGACAACCAAGATAAATCCTTGGCAGTTATAACTTTGGTAGGAGGAAAAGAGAAAAGCTCCACAACCCAGAATTAGCTGAGGGGGA